GGACGTTCGTCCTACAATGCCCACTGCTGGTCGTCCACGCGTACTGTCGAGTAGAATTCGTCGTGGGATCGTCAGGGCGATCACTAGCGGCGAGGCGAAAACCTCGAGGCATGCGGCCCAAATCGTCGAATCCCAGCACGGCATCACGGTGCATCCTAGGACGGTGCGTAATGCGCTCAAATCCAGCGGCCTTATCGCAGTTCAGCAGCCTAAGAAGCCGCGACTCACCAAGAAAAATATCCGCGATAGGCTGGCGTTCGCACGGGCCCACGCGGATTGGACCATAGATGATTGGCGACGGGTCATATGGTCGGATGAGACGAGGATTAGTAGGTTCGGCTCTGACGGCCGCGCGTACGCCTGGGTTCGTGAAGGTACGACTCTCCAACACCACCATATCAAGCAAACCGTCAAACACGGGGGCGGCGGCTTGATGATCTGGGGATGTATGACGTTTGAGGGGGCGGGTTTCATGTGCAAAATCGATGGTCGGATGGACGGGCCGCTGTATCTGAGCATTTTGCAAGACGAGCTGAAAAAAACCATCGACTTTTACAAGCTAACCCCCTCGGCTGTGATCTTCCAGCATGATAACGACCCCAAGCATAAGTCCCGTGTGGTGCAGCAGTGGCTTCAGGAGCAGGAGTATGGGGTCCTGGAGTGGCCGGCAGGAAGTCCTGATCTGAACCCCATTGAGCATCTGTGGGCTCATCTTAAAAGGGAGCTGGGAAAGCATGAGACACCTCCCACTGGTATGGTGGACCTGTGGGAGCGTGTACAAGAGGAGTGGGAGAAGATCCCATCAGAGGTGTGCTCCAATTTGATCGACAGCATGCCCAGGAGGGTGAAAGCAGTGATTAGGGCTAAAGGGCGGTGGACCAGGTACTAGTTTAAGGGTTTTTCAAGTTGCTGCTTCCGCCTGGAAATAATTGTCCACATGCACCGTGTTTGGTTATGTTTGCTGTTTACTGTTAACGATAGTAGTTTCATCAAATGTGTAGCATTTTAATGTCTCCCTCGATTAGCCTGCATATAGTGGGTAATGCCTCCAATTAAGGCTTAATGTTCAAATGCCCTTTAACGGTGGAAATTCAAAAAATTGCCAAACATGTGGACAATTCTTTCCGTCAGTGTACGTCGCTGGTTTCGGCTGGTCCTGGGGCCCTCTTGGCTGGCTGGTACCGTCTGAGCTTCAGCCGCTAGAGACAAGGTCTACCGGCCAGTCGATCTCAGTGGCGGTGACTTTCTCTTCATGGCCATTGTGGGCCAGAGCTTCCTCTCGCTGCTCTGCTGCTTAGGTGAGCCTTTGGACAGCTGCTGCATGTGCTACAGGGAAGATGGCATGTTGTTGCATGTGTTACAGGGAAAATAACATGTTGCATGAGCCACGCCCACCAAGAGCCTAGTCTCGCCACCTCCCTCCATGGCTGCCATTCCCTCAATCCGCCTGCTCCTCCTCGCCTCCCTCTCCACGCAGGTACGTCATTTTCCTCTTCTTCGCGGTGTGGGTGGCAGCAATGACCCTCGCCACGCACCTCCTGCTGCCCGAGACCAGGGGCGTGCCCCTCGAGGCCATGGCAGCACTGTGGCCACCACTGGTTCTGGGGAGGGTGGTCGCGCCTGGCTTGTCCAGTGGGGCGCAGGAAGGGGAGGAGGAGATGCAGGTGCTGACAGCCAGAGGGAAGTCGTGACGGCTGCCTCCTGCCAGAGGGCGTGCCAAGAGCGAGCGCATGGAGGCCATAGGATGGTTGTTAGAATATACCATGCTATGCTAGTTGTGTATATTGTGTTTACATCCCTAGTTGGGTGTACACCTGTGTTGGGGTGTCAATCCAACCCAATTGTGGTTGGAGCCCCCAAACACAAGGACCACAATTGTGGGGGCACCACAAGTGGGTTGGCTAAACCACTGGTGGTACACCACACTTGGACCACCTCCAACTGGTGGTCAACCACATTTGGGAAGGAGCCTCCCTCCCTTGTGATTGGTCCTAACCCCCCTTCCCTTCCAACCTTCCTTCCTAGCTCATCTCTCTCTTCTATGTAAATGCCTTTCCTTCATCAATAAACTGAACCTTTCTGTTTCTAACATGGTATAGAGCAATAATGGCTCACGCCAACTTTTAAATCCCGATCCTTCCCCACGCTTCCGCCCCGTCCCTTTCCGACGTGCACCTCATTGCCGTCCCCTCCATCGCCGCTGCTAGACTCCTAGCCGCCGCCTCTCAACTAGTTTTCTGTTGGGTGGATTTTCAAAAACCCCCAATGCGCCAAACGCCATAGCTCGCTCGATAGTTGACAGAATTGAGTGATTCGACTTGCAAAAGAACGCTCTTGGTGTCAGCTACAACGTCGTAAAATTTCGGACTGTTTCATCGCTTGGATTGTTAGATATCGCTTTCCGAAGTTTGCACACTTTCCTGGATGTGATCACGAAGTGCTACTGAAATTTCTACCAAGTCCTATTTTCATCAGCTAACTGCCATCTTTCCCCATCTTTTGCCTCCTCACCTGCACCTGCTCATCGCCGCCTTACCACTGCTGCAGCCGTAGCAGGCAGCAGCAGAAGCAGCAGCAGCACCAGAAGGAGCAGCAGACTCAGCAGCAGCAGCAGAGCAGCAGCAGAAGCAGCAGCGCAGCAGCAGCAGCAGCTGAAGGAGTAGCAGCAGCAGCAGCAGCACAGCAGCAGCAGCAACAGCGGCAGCAGCAGCAGGCTGGCAGCAGCGCGGCAGCAGCAGCAACAGCAGAGCAGCAGCAGACAGCAGAGCAGAAGGAGCAGCAGCAGCAGCAGCAGTATCTACAGCCATCCCCATCCTCCCCTCCTCTTTGAGCCGCCGCGGGTCACCCGCCGCCGCTCCCTCCCGGCCACCGCGGGTCCACCCGCCGTCGCCTTCCTCCCACTCCGTGTCACCAATGTCATCCTTTCCCCCTCCCGTCGACGTCTCGACCCTCGATCATCTCGTGCGCGCTGCCGACAACTCAGCAACCAACTGGTATTCCTTCGTCGGCAGCCTCCACCGCGTCCTCGGCAGTGCTTATGTCCTGCCGTTCCGCCTCCTGGACATCATGCTTGGTCTCCCAGAGGGAGACCTTGGGGACCCGCCGCCTCACCCTGGCGATCCCCCCCTCTCATTCCCCATCCGCGAGGCCTTCGCCATAGTACACCGTTGGACCAGCTCGCGGCTGCCACCGCTGAAGTTGAGCAGCTCTTCCTTACTCAGCATCGTGAGTTCCTCGTGCTCCATACTGATTACCTGATCGCGTTGGAGGAACACGAGCGGTCGGCAACCCTCCGCACCCAGCATGCCGCTACCGCCGCCGCTTATGCCGCTGACTCTGCGCGATTTGCTGAGCGTCGTCGCGCCTGGCTCGAGGCGGACAGCCGTGCTACTGGTGCCCTTCTCCTTGCCATCCCGTCTGCGCTCATGCGCAACTTCCAGGCACGTCGCATCGGCTCCCGCCAGATCTGGCTCGAGCTTGAGGCAATGTTCGAACGCACCGACTTCGATGCTGTCGGACCGCTCTTCAAGGAATACTTCAGCATCACGATCGAACATAGTGCTGGCGCCGTTGACTACACCAGCCGTCTCCTGGACCTTGCCTCCCGCCTTGAGGCTCGCCAGACTACTCTCCCCCCCAACCTTCAGATCTACCGTCTCCTCGAAGGCCTCTCCCCTCAATATGAAGTGCGCGTCATCGCCTTCACTGAGGCTCAGCCCCGCGCCTCCCTTGACACTGTGGTCCAATGGATCATTGACGCTGAGGCCCGCCTTCTCTCAACCCCCCCTCCGGCCTGAACTCCACCGCGTCCCAAAACCCCCAGCTTGCAGTCACACAGCCGCGTCGTGGCGGGCGCCCACGTGGCGGCCGCACCAACCCTCAGGGAGGGGGTGGAGGTGGCGGTTGTGGGGGCAGCGAGCCAGCGGCGGTGGTGGCGGGGTCGAGGGTGGCAGCAGTGGTGGTGGTGGAGGCAGTGGTGGCTCATCTGGTAGCCCGTGGTGGCCGCCCTGGCACTCTTCCCCATGTTCCTATCTTCGCCGTTTTGGTCCCAGGGCGGGTGAGCGCTGCACCCAAACCAACCATCCCCCCGCAACCTGCTTCAAGGCGTATGATGATGCCTGGTTCGAGCGCGGCAACACTGGCACCCCCCCACGCTGGTCTGCCATGGATCCCCGCCCCTCTCTCCAGGATGTCAAAACTCTTCCGTCTTTCCTCCCTCTCATCTTCAGCTCTCCTCCTCCTCCTCCTCTGTCGCTGACCCCATAACTCCCCAGAAGCTGCAGCAGTTTCGCCGCTTCCAGCAGCTGCAGCTGCTGCAGCAGCAGCAGCAGTGGGGCTCTGGTGGTCAGGCTGCAGCCGCAGCTGCAGGAGCCGCAGCCGCAGCTGCAGGAGCCGCAGCCGCAGCATCTGCATGGCAGCAGCAGCAGCTTGGCTTTGGCACCGCCGCCATGGCTGCCACAGCCACACCAGGTCCTCCTGGCTTTCCCCTCTGGGGCTCTCCTTCCCCTAGTGCTCCCGCCTCCCACTCTAGCTTTCTAGGCGAGCTCATGCGTTCTTCCCCTGCTTCCACTTCCATGTATCCCTCTGTTTTTAATGCCAGTGATTTCCAGTACCCCGTGTCTTCAGCTCCCTCCTCGCTCACGATTGACTTTGTTCTCGATAGTGGTGCCACTGAAACTGCCCTCAAAGACGCCGGCACCCTCACCTCCCTCCCTTTCCCCACCAACGTTCATGGTGCTGATTCCAGCTTCTCCATCCCTTGCACTCATCTCTCCACCCTCCCCTGCCCCCCTTCCCCTCTGGAGTGGTCACTGGTCTCCACATTCCCTCCCTTCGTCATAACCTGCTCTCTATTCGTGAACTCCAACAGGCTGGCATCACTACCCTCTTCCCCGCCTCTGCCACCTACTGTGACCTCCTCCACGGCCCCACTCGCCGCCTCCTTCATCGCCTCCCACTTTGCCCTCGCTCTCGTCAGTACATCCTCCGCACACCCCGCCCCTCCTCATGCCACGTGACCACTCGTGCAGGCACCTCCACTCTCCCCCCTCCCCTCCCTCTAGAGCCACCTTCCTCCAACTCCACCTCCTCCCCATGCTCTTGTCGCGCACTGTCCCACCCCGCTGTTCTCATCCACCACCGCCTTGGTCATATGAACTTTCCCACACTTCATAAAGCCATCTCCTCCCGCTTGCTTGACGGTCTTCCCCCCACTCTTCCTCCCCTCCCGTCCTCTTCCGCTCCCCCATGCGCCACATGCATTCATGGAAAGCTCAAACAACAGCCTCACCTCAGTCATCCTTCCTTTGCTGCTGCCCCCCTTGACCTCGTCCACATGGACCTCTGGGGCCCTAACCCTTCCCCATCCCGCCAAGGGCACCGGTACCTGCTTGTCCTAGTCGACGACCACAGCAGGTACTCCTCGGTGTTCCTCCTCCACACGAAGGCCGAGGCCCCTGCTGTCATCGTTACCTGGGCCGAGCAGTGCCGAGTCCACTTTGGTCGCCCCATCCGCCGCCTCCATTCCGACGGCGGTGGTGAGTTTCTCAACCGCACCCTCTCCTCCTACTGCTCAACCCATGGCATCCAGCAGACTCATACCCTTCCCCACTCCCCTCAGCAGAACGGTGTTGCTGAGAGTCGCATTCGTGAGATCACCAAGACGGCCCGCTGCCTCCTCACTCATGCCTCCACGCCTCCTTCTCTTTGGGGCTATGCCCTTGTCCATGCTGCTCTCCTTACTAATCTTTACCCACATCCTCAACGCCAGTCTGTCACTCCCACTGAGCTCTGGGCTAGCACCAAGCCAGATGCTGCCATTCTCCGTATCTGGGGTTGCAAGGCATATGTCCTCATCCCCCCACCTGACCGCTCTCGGCAGGCAGGAAAGCTCGCCTCCAAGGCCATTAAGTGTGTCTACCTTGGCCACGCTCGCTCTGCCCCTGGTTACCTCTTCCTTCACCCGTCCTCAGGCCGCCTCCTACAGAGCCGTGACGTGGTGTTCGATGAGAGCATCCCGTTCTATCATTCTGTTCCGCCTTCCGACCCCCTTCCTCCTCTCTCCCGCCCCCTCACCTGGGCTGATGCTGTCATTCCCCCACTCCTTCCCCAGGCTCCCCTCCTTCCTCCAAATCCTACTCCTCCCCCTCCTCCTTCCTCAGGTGACATTTACGACCCAGCTGTCCCTGACTCCCCTGCTCACTCTGCCTCATCGCACCAGCAGCAGCAGCAGCAGCAGCAGCGGCAGCAGCAGCAGCAGCAGCAGCAGCGGCAGCAGCAGCAGCAGCAGCAGCAGCAGCAGCAGCAGCAGCAGCAGCAGCAGCAGCAGCAGCAGCAGCAGCAGCAGCAGCAGCAGCAGCAGCAGCAGCAGCAGCAGCAGCAGCAGCAGCAGCAGCAGCAGCAGCAGCAGCAGCAGCAGCAGCAGCAGCAGCAGCAGCAGCAGCAGCAGCAGAAGGAGCAGCAGCAGCAGCAGCAACAGCAGAAGCAGCAGGTGCAGCAGCAGCAGCGGATGGAGCAGCAGCAGCAGCAGCAGCAGGAGGTGCAGCAGCGGATGGAGCAGCAGCAGCAGCAGCAGCAGCAACCGCAGGCAGTGCAGCAACAGCAGCCGCAGCAGGAGGTGCAGCAGCAGCACCAGCAGCAGCCACAGCAGCAGCAGCAGCAGCAGCAGCAGCAGCCACTGCAGCAACCTCATCGGCATCGCCGCACCACCTCTCCGTTCATCCTCCCACGCATCCACACTCGCTCTCACGGCCCACTCATAGGCCATCCATGGGGTTGGCCAACACCACCCCCACCCTCCCTTCCCTTCATTGAGGACTCCCACGAGGAGCTCATTGGCGTTCAGCAACAAACACCTTCCCTCACGCCTCTCTACCCGGGCTTCCTTGGCCTCCTCATCCTTGGCATCGCTACCGCTCCCACCAGATTCACTCCGTCCAACTTCCTTGAGGCCATCACCTGCCCCGATGCTGCCAAGTGGATCCAGGCTATCTTTGCTGAATGCGAGGCCTTCATCCGCAATGCCTCATTCGTTAACATTGTCCCCTCTCCTGACGACGTCATTGTTGAAGGCCTGTGGGTGTTCCGAGTGAAGCAGCTGCCGGGTGAGGAGCCGGTCTACAAGGCCCGGTATTGTGCCAAGGGCTTCACCCAGACCCATGGCATCGACTACTGGGAGACATTCTCTCCCACTGCCAAGCTCCCAACTCTCCGTGCCATCCTCGACTATGCTGTTCGCATTGGCATGGAGATTGCCTCCATGGATGTCTCCAACGCCTTCCTGCAAGGCGAGCTCCAGGAGCGGGTCCTCTTGCGGCGGCCTCCAGGCTTTCATGCAGCCTTCCCTGCCAACACAGTCTGGGAGCTGCGCCGCCCGGTTTATGGCCTCAAGCAGGCTCCTCGCGAGTGGCACAACAAGCTGGCCGCCACTCTGCAGTCCTTGGGGTTCCATGCCTCTCAGTCTGATGCCAGCCTTTTCCTTCGCTCCTCTCCCACCGCTTCTTCATCCTGGTGTATGTCGACGACATGATCCTGTTCGCTGATGATGCTGCCGCCATGCAGCAAGTGAAGGACGCCCTGCATGCGCGCCTCAAGTGCAAGGACCTGGGTGAGCTCAAGCACTATCTGGGCATGACCATCACCCGGGACCGCACATCGCGCACCATTACCCTCTCTCAGTCCTTCTACATCGACCAAGTCTTGCAGCGGTTCGACATGGCGCAGGCCAAGCCGGTTACCACTCCCCTGCAGACCGACCACCAGCTTGCCCCTCCTCCTGCTCCCTCCTCCTCTGACCATCCTTACGCTGAGCTCGTCGGCTCGCTGATGTACGCTATGATGTGCACCCGCCCCGACCTTGCCTACCCCATCAGTGTTCTTGCTCGATTCGTCGGTACCGGTCGCCACACTGATGAGCACTGGGCTGCAGCGAAGCGGGTCCTCCGCTACCTCCGTGGTACCAAGGACTATGTCCTCACCCTCGGAGGCTCTTCTCCTCCCCTCCTCTCTGGCTTCAGTGACTCCTCCTGGGCTGACTCCCAGCCGGATCGCCGTTCCTCTCAAGGCTACGGCTTCACCCTTGGCAGCGGCCTCATCAGCTGGCGCTCCACTCGCTCCTCCTCCATCGCCCTCTCATCCTGCGAGGCTGAGCTCTATGCTTGCACCATGGCCGCTCAGGAGGCTCGCTGGCTCACCTTCCTCCTTGCTGAGATCGGTGCTCCTCAGCGCTGTCCCACCCTCTGGTGCGACAACGCCAGCACCATCCATCTCACAAAGGACCCTGTCTTCCATGGCCGCTCCAAGCACATTGAACTCCGCTACTTCTTCGTTCGAGAGTTGGTCCAGCAAGGTCACTTGGTGGTCCGCAAGATCGCTGCAGAGGCCAACTTGGCCGACATCTTCACCAAGGCCCTCCCGAAGACCGCGCACTCTGCCCTCCTCCGCCTTCTCGGCCTTGGGCCCCGCCCCCCTTCCTGATTCTGGGGTTGTACCCTACATATACACTAGCTTTGCATGCTATGGGGTTGTGTTAGAATATACCATGCTATGCTAGTTGTGTATATTGTGTTTACATCCCTAGTTGGGTGTACACCTGTGTTGGGGTGTCAATCCAACCCAATTGTGGTTGGAGCCCCCAAACACAAGGACCACAATTGTGGGGGCACCACAAGTGGGTTGGCTAAACCACTGGTGGTACACCACACTTGGACCACCTCCAACTGGTGGTCAACCACATTTGGAAGGAGCCTCCCTCCCTTGTGATTGGTCCTAACCCCCCCTTCCCTTCCAACCTTCCCTTCCTAGCTCATCTCTCTCTTCCTATGTAATGCCTTTGCTTCATCAATAAACTGAACCTTTCTGTTTCTAACAATGGTATGGGACGTTTGTGGCACCAGCATTGATTATGGGGCCGCACTGTGGTGTGTGGCCTGTCATGTGGCGCACGGGATGGGGATGACGAGATGCAGGTGCTGATGTTGAGTGGGAGGTTGTCTGGCTATCGGGTGCAAGGTGGTAGCAGACTCAACTCACACCGTGGCTGCCCATGGGGTACTCGCAACAGAAAAACACGGCACATTTCATCCACTTCACACGCCGAAGCTTTTGTGTCTAACGGCATGGTGAAATACGCGCGCACCGGTGCGCATCAGTGCGCACCAGAGCCATATTTTGTATATGTGGTGTTTACAACTCCGCATCAGACGTGTCAAAACTGCATATGACAAGTAACACCAACATCTAACATATGTTACGTGCCATTTTGTTTTTTGTTTTTTCCAATTGAACAATGAGGATGTTAATTTCAAATCTGTCCAAAGAACTTACGTCTGTTGTAGGACATAGTATACGTCCGAACTCAAAAGTGCGCATCAGTGCACACCAGTGTCCCCATTTCACCACATCCTAAGAGTGTGTTCCTACAGCCCTTTATCATGTGAGCCTCTCTTCAGCCTGGGTTCCACCATTTCGAAACGCACTAAAACGATTCGCGTCGAAATTGCGCCGTACAGTACCTCGTGCATATGATCAGGGTTGTAGGAACACGCTCTAATGCAATGTTGAACAGTGCATTTGTCGCATTTGTCCCACGATTCCCACTGAAACTGTCCTCATATAGTTAAAGCGAGGGTCTCAGGAAGCAGAAAACCAAATCCAAAGGTTTTGGAAACCCAATCGTCATTGACCGGGTTACCGCGTTCGTTCCTGCTAGGTAGTTGCGCTCTCAGGAGAGCTGGTGCACTCTCTAGGGTTTGCATTCGGCAGTCTGAGTTAGTTGGGAGTTTGTGAATTCGTCGCACAGGCCCTTGTTTCCTGTCGTCACGCCCAATGCTGAAACCGTTGGTTTTCTTGAACGTGTCACAAAGGCGTGTTCATTCACCCGGTTACGTCACGCGGTTTTGAACCTCCCCCATGTTGCTGAGTCGTTTTATCCACAATGACCCATCGTCTTACCAAATTTTTGTCGCACTTTTTTGTGCCACGATTTTTTATGAACACGCCCCACCAACTTGTGTCCCATCTATGTAGCCAGCGAGGCGTTCCAACCGTCGCAAGGTCCAAGCGAAGTACTGAACATTCTCGCAGGGGCGGATTGTTTTTCGCTGTTTGTTTCGGTGTTCTTGGATCAACTCGCCCATTTCGCCCATTTTGCCTGTGACCAAAAACAAAACCTTTGGATTTGGTTTTCTGCTTCTTGAGACCCTTGCTTTAAATGGGTTAAAAATGGGAACATTCGGATTTGTTTCAAGGAAGCATGCTATGAAGCCCCTTTCCCACACCTGCCATGCCGAAACCCCCCCCCCCCTGCAATCTCAATTCCCTTCGCCGATGCGATCTCGAATTCCCCTGCCCGTGCAATCTCTAGATTCTCCCCACCCCCCAAAATCCCAGACCATCTCCAAATTTTCCCAATGAGTTAGTGTATAGTACCCTAGGGAGCTAATAAAAATTCATGGAAATCTGGGGTGGGTGGAATTAAAGGCCAAAACATTATAAGACAATGGTTCTATGGAATCTGCATATGCGTTTTTCAATTCCATGGTACACTACTTTGTTTTGTGTCACATATCAACATCTCGTGTCCTCATCGCGTACCCTATAGTGTGGCCCTTCCGCTTGCCACATCGTCAGCTAGTAGAATCAAGGACGAGGCTGGCAAAGCAGCCAATCAACGAATTTTGCAGGCCTCGTCCTTGCTGCCACCAATCAGTGGGCAGCAGCGGAGGTTTGTTTTTGCTGGAGGGCGCAAGAGTCTAGAATGAACAATTTGGATTTCGAGGTTTCAACATTTTGTTTTTCCGTTCGGATAGTTTCGGGTTGACCACCAGCTCGTTTCCTCCACTCGTCCTCACATTTACGCACGCAACTATGCACGGCAAATTCTGTTGTTCCCTGTCAAAATTAGGATTCTAGGTGGCGAGGGGTGTTCAATTGCTTTCAAGCTCAAAAGTAGGGTGGTAACTGTAGATCTAGTTTAATTAAACACCCATACCTGCTCAAGCCACCCATGGGAGCTTAATTCTGGCGGGTACCGTATCAGGGGGAATACGGTATATGCTCTATGGGCTAGCTAGGTGCAGACTATACTGGGGACAACCCCAATACTTGAACCCTGCTCTGTTCCTGTTCCAGTCACTCATTTCTTTCATTCTGGCCGCAGCCCGCCTACACCTGCCGCGCTGTACGTGCCCGCGCCCCGTCGCGCTGTGCCATGCCCGCGTTTGCGCCCCGCTGCGCCGCAACGCACTACACCTGCCACGCCATTGCTCGCGGCCCACATCACTGGTGAGCTGCCTGCCCCCTTCCGCCCTGCTTTGCGACGAGGCAATGTCGTAACAGCGTGCAGAGTACGACGCCGCCTCACAGGTTGTCATCACCTGGTGCCTGCTGGTCGACGAACACTCTCACTTTGTGCCAGAGGAGACTGCTCATGCCCTCTACGACGCGATCGTCACCTGCTACTCGACCCCGTCCTTCGCCACCCTTGGTCGCCTCTTCCTCTATTTCCTCTTCCCGGACCTGGCCTCCTTCCCTACGGTCGCGGACCTCGTTTTGCACCTCTGCTCCCTCGACGCCCGCTACCGTGCGGCTGCACCGAGGCCCAGCTCAACGCGCTCCTCCCCCACACCCCCATCACACTTTACCTCCTGCGTGTGATGCCCTTCTCGTGCTGCACCCTGCTAACCTCACTATCGATCTCTTCTCCACCTCCCTGA